CACACACACACACACACACACACACACACACACACACACACACGGTATCACTAAGGATGTATATTTGGGTAAGCAATACATGTACTAGGGATACGTGACAGGGTAGCCATTGTTTCTCTAGTCACTCAATAACACAGTATCTGAGACAGTGTGACTGTTCAGCCGCCTCTGACAAGGCAGTGAAATGCTATTGCTTCTGCTGTGGAGTACACTGCTGTTTAACTATTGCAATAGACAAGTCCAGTCATAGAATCTGGAATTGAAAAGAGCACTGGAACTTCTCTGAGGCGAAGCTGTGTGTGGTGGCCCATGCCTCTAACACCCTAGGGAGCTGAAGCAGGAGGAGCAGTAGAAATGGCCAGCTAGACAACATAGGGAGACTGTTATTCACAAAATGTTACATGAGCCAACCCTCAATGCAGAAGCCCTTCCTTTGACAATAAATTAAACATACATAAGTCTCTGCTTAATCACCTCCAGAAGCGGGCAGCTTATTACCTCGACCACAAAATCTCTTAGGATCGGAAGTGAAGAAGAGTACCAAATTCAGTAGTGTCTGAGCAAAAAGCTTATGGGCAGTGTAACAGCTTACTAAAACCTTGTCCAGACTTGGCAGGGAGATGCTTCAGATGAGTGTTTGGAATAACAATGGAATGGAGAAAGAGACAAAGAGCCGTAGTTAATATTTTCTGCTCAATAACAATGCCATCGCTGAACAGCAAAACATCGACTTCCTCAAGCTTGTTGTCATCTGAGAACAGTGGCCGTTACCCTGGCAACCAGACTTCGATGATGCTTCCCTCCAAGAGTGGCTTGGAAGTACAAAATGTGGAGGCAGAGCAGAGGCTGAGCTCTACCAGGTACCTGAAGACTATCTGAATCCCATCAAAGGCACCACAAGAATGTCAGGAGTTAAAAAGAAAGCAGATTTAGAGCAGCATGCTAACTGACTCCTGCTAGAGACACTGACTAAAATGATCAAGGGCAGCCTTTGCCACACCATTTCTTATCTGGTTCTTCCTAGCCAGGAGCTCTTGAAAAGCTAGAGAGATTAAGCAGTTTGCCCAGCTTGAGGGGCTTCACCTTGGCCCTGAGCCAGGACACCAAGAAATCTTGTCCATATCCTAACGATAATGTTCTCTCAGAGTTCTGAATAGTAACATTTTTAACCCAGGGAGGGGGTAGGAACATCTACAGGTCCTACCCAAGCCAGTGACGCATTCATTTTTCCATGTCCTTTGTTCGTTTGTTTGAGGGGTGTGTGTGTGAGAGAGAGAGAGAGAGAAAGA